TCGATGTATTCTTTAATAAATAAGTCATTGCTTTCTCGCCAAGCCTATACAATACCATACTATTTAACCTCATACGCTTTTTAAATCCTCTATTTTATATTACAATTATAGACTACTTACCTAGAATAAAGCTTTTCAATGCTGGTAAACGTCTAATATAATCCGTGCATGAATTTTCATATTCCACCATAGCTCCGTAATTAAAATCCTGTAGTTAAGCACAGTTTGCATTCAATAATATACCAAATTATATTTAAATTCTCTCATATAAAATAGGACTAAGATTTCGTACTCACCTTTGTAATCACCTTCTTAAAGCCAAGTGATAAAACATTGGGTGGCATTTTTCGATACGAATTGGACTCTTCATTAATAACAAGATCTTTTATAACAGAATTAACAACCTACCAGAGAAGTTTTAGATTAATTATTCAATATACGTAGCTACGTACATCTATTTATTTAGTAGACAATACGTTAGAGATTAAGCCCGGATAGATTGAATTGATCATTACTATATAACGATAATCAATTAGTATGTAAGCGGTAGATAATGGGTTAGTGTATTGTTATTATACATCACCTAGTTGTGTTTAAAGTTGTTATCGGCTTTCTTGAAGCCGGATTATCCGAGTAGTCCTTACCTGGGCTTAATTTCTACAATATGTATATACGTCTTTTTTTTTTAAACCTTTGGCTTAATGCCTCAGGACGCCGTTGGCATGCAATTTATTTAAAACATATGATAGTACATACGTCTTTAAATTCTTTAAATGTCTCGTTTGAAAATTTTTTTCCCAATAAGTCTTGCGGAAAGGATTGTTTAGTGTCATTTATGAGCGAGGTTTTTAGTAAATTTATATAGTCTTCCTCATCACCCTTCTGAATCAATTTAATTTGATTGCTGCAATGCGTAAGAAATTCATATAAAGTCGAAATATTTGGATAATAAGTGCTCAAAACTTTGTTTTTGACTGTACACATTATCTAAAAATTATAAA